TCCTATGGTACCTTCCAAAATGTATCTATATGAATTAACTCGATTGAAAGCTTTCGTTTTGTTTACAAATGCGATGTGTAATTCTTTATCGAATTCTACCGTCCTTTCCACTAATTGTTAAAGTGTGAATATTGCATCAGTACAGCCTCTGTTCCGAAATCCCGTTTGTCCTTCACTAAGTTGTGGTTCGATGATAGGGCGTAGCCTTTTTTTTCCCAAGTATCTTACCAAATATTTTCCGGTGTGGCTCAATAGCATATTCCTCTATACTTCTCAGTCTCTCTGGCTGCCTGTCTTCTCCCAGAGGGGTACTATTTTTACATTTCTCCAGTCCTTTGCTGTCTCTAAGGTTTTCTAGATTGGGTTGAACAGTCTGTGCATCCATTTTATGCCTACCTCTTATGTTGCTTTGTGTAGATCGGCAGGTATCTCGTCGCTTTGTTGGAAAGTCTCTTTTACAGCTTCTCTCATTTCTGCGAGTGTAATGCTTGATTCTAAATTTTATTCTATGTATCTATTATTTTCTTCTTTTGTAACAATGTGGTTCTTAGAGACTGCGGGGGCATCTGACCGAGTGGTAATAACGTCGGGCAGTTATGCGGGAGAGCCGGGTTCGACGCCCGGTAAGGTGATGTTTTTCTGACGGTGGCAAAATTAAATACACTAACCTGTACAGTCAGTGGCGACAGAACTGGCCATGCGGCCCTAAATTCTCAGGCCCATGACTCCTGTCTACGCTGTCCTGAAAAGTGGTACATACAGACAGTAGTGACAGTTGTCCTGCCTGTTGGGAGGAGTTTGTCTCATTTGCGCAAAGCTTAATGACCTAAATGGTTTGTTGTGCCGAGAGGTGTGGCTTATTGTCCCTAGCAGGTTTACTCTGAACATATTTAAGTCTTTCATTGAGGTCTTGTGGTCGACTACTTCCCGTCCTTTTTAGAATGAAATTTTTCGTTATTTGAAGCCCTACACTGGCTCTTGCCAGGGGCCGCAATATAGCCCAGCCATGAATATGGCCCAATGGCTGAACGCGATTTCTGGAACCTCACCACTGTGATACTCATCCACTTGGTGGCACTTTATGTGATCGGGTGTTTATTGCTTGTGTAATGTCCTGGTGGGGTAGAAATTCAGTCAGTCTTGTGGTCCGGATTAGGGTTCTGCTTTTCGTGTTTATTGCCCTGTCTTTAGAGTGGGATTGTACAATACCTGATTGTGGCTGCACACCTTTTGATCCACGTTGTGTTTTTTTCCTCAGTTGTTGTGCCCTGTCTTCTGTCTTTGAGATGTCATCCTCATTTACTTCCTTGCTGGTTGTCCTTTTCTTCACGTTCACTGGCTGTAAACTTCAGCGGAAAGTTCTGGTTGTTCGCCCACCTCTAGACTTCAGCCTTGTTCCAGAACTCCGTTTTACAGATCTGCCTTATTTTAATGCAGATTATTGGTCCTCGACTCTCAGACAGATGCATGCCGACCTCGCAGGAGGCTCCCAAGCGAAGACAAGAATAAACCCACTGCCTCCCCAACCTAAAAGTTGACTAATTAGGGGCTTCCTTTGAAGTCGGAGTGCATCTGCCAGAGCGGCAAGGAACGACCAACTGCACACAAATAAGGCAGTAAAATGGATGTACATGCAAAAACTCAGGCCTGTTCAATGGGGCGCTGGAATCGATACAGGAAGTTGGGTATCTGTCTCTTCATGTTATAAATTCCCATTATGGGGCAGCCATTTTAAGGTTCCATACTGACCTCTTAGCGTTTCCGGCAAATACTAAGACTCAGTCATGGAGGTTCTAGAGCCATGTTTTTCTAGACTAGTCAGCACTCGATGGGTGCTGTAGTCAGCATTTCAGGACATTTTCCTGGTGACAATTTTAGATTTTCCACCGGGAACACCTCTGCGGGATGCTGACCACATCACCCATCAGGTACCCATTGGTCTATAAAATATAGATCTGTATGTCCCAGTATGCTTGAAGGCGTAGAAATGGGTCCTTGACTTTTAATTTTTATTACCTGGGATCCAAAGCAGATTTAAACCCGAGACCTGCAGAGCGACAAATAAGCAAGTTACCATTACGCTGACACAGTTTCTAACAAGAAAAAGACGGGGGTAATTGTCTAGTTGATTCGACCCTATTGTATAATCTGACACAAAATGTCTTCCCTTTTGGGCTACGGGTCTCCACTGGGGTGGGGGGGGGGGCGGTTGAATAAACCCACTGTCGCCCACCCCAACAATCCTGTCGTAAAAACCGATAAATTAAGGGTTCCATTATTAGTTGGAGTGCATCTGCCCGAAAGGTTATGAACCAATAGTCTGCATATAAATAAGCCAGATCTGTAAAACGGATGTCCAGACAAAACTGAAGTCCTGTAACAAAACTTAAGTCCAGAAGTGGAAAAACAACCAAAACCTTCCGCGGGAATATACAGTCGGTGTGCGCAAAGGAGAAGAAGAAGAATATTAAAAACATCTGATCCAGAGGAACTGAAACATGGAAGCTTCTCCTATAGGGGCCACCTCCCTCCTTGGGGGAAAAAAAAGGGGGGGGGGGGGGTCGTAAATTGTTTGCAGGGGGCACCACTGAGTACTATAGTGAGAAGAAGTTTGTTGCACATTCTTCTACGAGACTTTACGGAACCACCCCGGTAATGTTTTGTTTTCTTGTTGTTGTTTGGTTTAACTAATCAGTTCCAAGTTCAGATTATCCACTGAACTGTCGGCTTTCGATACCATTGTCGAAAACCACGCAAAGCGGTCTGCTTTTAAATCGCCTGCACCCGGAATCGAACCGGGTTCCTCGGAATTACCTCGCGCTTTCCCAATTGATTAATTAACTTATTAACTTACAAATTATTACTAACAAGCCAGTGTAACACCTGGTTTCTAGTTCTAGTGAACGAGTTAATGTATGTTATCACAACTTCGGGATCAACGAATATCGACAAATACAAACCACAGCAACACAGTAGACTCATTAAATGAGCCGCGCGTGTTGGGAGGCAGCATGTGGCGACTTTAATAGCAATGTTGTCGCTGAAATAATGAATCTGTTCTGGACACTCGTCACATTAGGGAAGCTTGTTGGTGTTAAGTGAAAAAACCTGGTTTAAAACAACATGCTAGAGAAGACTGCACATGGTGGCTACTGTAGCAAAGTAGTTAAGGAATTTGTCTGTCGAAAGAGAAGATCCGGGCTCTAACTACAAATTACAAATATTTTGTGTCCTACAAATAGTGCTGTGAAGTTTGAACAACGGATCAACATTAAGGCACACGGGTTGTTAGTTGCGTATCCTTTACAGGACGTTGCAGAACCAACCCCAACGGCCCCTGGCTGTTGTGTGGTTTTTCTAGGCAAATTTACGTCAAGTAGTTTGCCATTGCTTTCTTGACGGTGGGCTTTTTTGGTACCACTGTCGAAACCAACGCAAGGCGCATAGCAGCTGGGATCGAACCCGGCATCCCGGCATTACGAAGCGTTCGCATCGACATAGCCACAGAGCTGACGGCACACGGGTAGTAGCCCATAAGTGCTCTGTTCTTCTTCCAACTCAAGTCCGACTCTGTAGAAGCTCAGCACAGTAAACAGGCTCTGTAGCATCGGCGAGGATCCTGAAATTACTTTGGATAGATTTTTAGCTTAAAATTTTGCCCGGGCAGCACCGTTAGGCTACTCTTTTCCATTTCCAGCTGCCAAGGGATTTTTTACGTGCGCAACAATGCACACTGGCGTCCAATCTCACTACCAAGAGACCGGGGAGGAGAGGGGGGGGGGGGGATACTAGAAGTCCAAGCCCACATGAAAAAAATCCCAGCCCTTACCGGAGATTGAACTCGGAAACTCTAGCACTCGAGGCAAACACTATGTATCGAGACCATGTAGTCCCCTATCGCTGTGAGGTTTTAGCCTCCTAGTTACTTGCCAGTTACTGCATGTAGTTACCATTTTTGCATCGTAAAGGGGTAGGGTGAGGAGGGAGGGCCTTTAAACCTGAGGATGTAGGGCCGCTTGATTAGTTCAGTCTACATGAACTATGTAAGTTAAGACCCCCCCCCCCCCCCCACCCACAAATAACGCTTTCGTAAAATAAGCCCACAGTATGCATGTCAGAGGGGACCACAGACACCTGAGCACATTCTGCAGGCCTGCCCAATACACAAGAGAAACCTGGCCTCAAGAGCGAAGTGTGCAGAGTAAGCTTTGAGGAGCAATATTAGAGGAATTGCAGGTGACATGCGAGTTTATAGAGCCAGCCCACCTGACGGCCCTGACCTGAGCATACGAAACCGAAGAAGAAGAAGAAGAAGAAGATGATGAAGAATTACGAACGAACGAACTTTATTTTCAAAGGGTTACAAATTAGGCACGCAGGTCTGTCTTAAATTCGGTCCTTCCAAACTCCCATCTTTCACACAGCACTTGTATTTCATCAATAAAGCATGTTATGTTCATGTAATAATATCCATATCCTGAATATCAAGTCAAAAACAAAAGCATGAGTCGTAAAATATGCTCGAACACACACACTCTCATACACACGCAAACCTATTCATTCACTTACACAAACACACGTAGACACCCAATTCATCCACATTTATACGAACAAGCACACACACATACACCCACACCCCACACACATACAGACAGACAGACACACAGACAGACAGACAGACAGACAGACAGACAGACAGTAGTGGTAGTAATAGTAGCAGCATTAGCAAAATTATCAGTAGTTGTAGTAAAAATATTAATAATGATCGCAAAGGAAAAATAAATATAAAAGTCTGCTTGAAATAATACGAAATGCATAAACACAAACTTGTAAATGAAAACTTCTATACGTGGTTTAAAAGCTAGTTACGAAGATTGGAAGCTAATCAGGCAAGTTGGCATGTATAAACAGTGGATAGAAGTATAACAGACAAAACAACAGACAGACAGTAACACAAAAGTGTACTATTGTTCATGAATTTGTTTTGAGTCATTACATATTTAATAACCTATCCCAATCCAGTGTGGCGGGTAATGGTCTACCGGACAGAAATAACCCCCATAATCGGTATTGTTATTCATATATCTGTTAAAATAGATTACATAACCTCCGGCCAACCAGCCTCCCCACCAACCAAATGTCCCCCCTGACATTATGACATGACTGCATCTCGCTAACACAGCCAGATGAACTTCGGGATCTGCTTTGGGTAGAATTTGTACATTATGTACATGAAACATCTTTTGACACCACTGTTGGTCTTCGCTGACAATTACAAACAAGGTCCTATTTTCCGAAACCGTCGTTTTCATCCACTCAAACGCTTTTTGATAATATGAAGCGGGAGCGACAACGTAACCTCTAGACTGAACCTGCAAAAAATCCCCACGTCGAACGTGGACTCCAACAAGAATGTACCCTTTGTTAGTGGCATAAATATTTCGTAAAATGGCGTCTGCTTTTTTGGCGATGGATTTTGAGAAGGTAAAATCACGTCGGATTTCCTCTTGAATAGAATCGAAGTATTTGTATGATTGGACATAACCTAAGAGATGTATGTTTACAGGGGGTAAGGTCATAAGGCTTTGCTGAAAACAGCCGAAACGGGCTTCTTTTATACGCTGCCATCTGAAAAGACAGAAAATTTGAACCATATAATCAGTCAGATAAAACAGATTATATACATTTACACTTGCTTTATTCTGTTAATTGTTATCTTCTTTTTATTCTCGTTCACTGACTGTAAATTCCAGCAGAAAGTTTTGGTTGTTCCGCCACTCCTGGACTTTGGTCTTGTTACAGAACCTTTTCTTTTTTTTTTTTTTTTTTTTGGTTGGTGTTGCTTGCACAGCCATTTTACAGATTTGGTTTATTTATATGCAGAATGTTTTTTTGTTTTTTTTTTTTTAAATTATCAGGCAGATGCACTTCTACTTCAGAGGAAACTCGCCTAATTAGTTGCTTTCTAGGACATACTTTTTGGGGTGGAGGGATCTAGTCTGTTCTTCAAAATGTAGCCTCGGAACCTAAACGCGACATATCAACATTTAAGAAAGGATTTTTTGTCGCTGCATGCTTCTTATTGTTGATAAAGTTCTGTAGTTTTCTTTGTTGATAAAACATTTAGTTTAAACGTTTCCTTTTTGTCTTTATTTTTCTGCTTCGCCCAGCTTCCAACAGAGGTTGTTTCCTTATGGCTGCAAAATTACCACCGTGTTATTTTCCAGTCTACTGTTTCTTTCCCCCTGCTGGTTATCCCGGTAAGGGCTGGGAGTTTTTCACATGGACTTGGACTTCTAGTAATTCCCCCTAGTTTCTGGGTAGTGAGATCGGACGCCCGTGTGTATTGTTGTGCATGTAAAAAAAAATCCACAGGCAGTTGGAAATCAAAAAGAGTAGCCTAACAGCCCTGCCGGGGCAACATTTGGAGTTAAAACGTCTACTGAAAAGTATTTCAGGATCCTCGCCGGTGCTACAGAGATCCAGCTTAAGAATGGAGGTGGACGCGGTCACTGCAGCTTTCCGCTGGCTAGAGAACACGACACACACACATCGTGATTGTAACTGATTCAGAAAGCATGCTGAGGAAGATCAGAACAGGTATGCTTCGTGAAGAGTGGCATGCTTCGCTGCGGAGGATATGGGTGAGGAGTACTGTCTGGATTTTTTTACTGGTGCACTCCAGTGTGTTGAGAAATAAACAGGCGGACAGATTGGCTGGCTCTGCACAACTTGGCGGAATACTGATAATGATAAGGCAGACGTGGTTAGTGCCTTGTGGGAGAGCGTGTACAATTCGGAGGAGCAGATGGATCACCACAGTCTGGTGAGATTGATGCAGTTGGGGGTGACGAGAGGTTCTGGCAGATGCTCGAGGCTCAGAGGAAAGGCAAGACAGACGTTTAATCAGAATGCTACTGGCACCATTAGCATCGGAACTATTCGCTGGCTGCTGAAGATGGGGACGGAGAGCTTATGGAAATGCCCCGAGTGCTGTGATGTCGGTTCTTGAATCAAATCAAATCAAATTAACCAGCTGTTTAGTTCACACTCCAGCAGACCTATTTAACACAGGACTAAATTTCGTTGCTTTATATTATCCAATGAAGGATAGTCCCAGATATCCTTACTTTGTATTTACTGATGTATTATTCTTCTTTCTCTTTTTCTGTAATCCTGTTAAAGTTTTAGATCGACTTCATTGCATTGGTGTATCCTATGTGACTGGACCCCTCTGCTCAGAACACGAGCTTGCAATCGAGAGCGTCGCACTCAGCACCAACTTCGCAGCTCTAGCGACTTAAAAACTGCACGCCTTAACTGGAGTACGCAACCTTGAAACCACCCCACGACCTTCAGAGCGGGAGGCAAACGGTTTGACCACTTAGCCTCTGTAATACCCACAATACCTCCTTAAACCGTCCGTGAACTGTGGCAAACAATTCTGATTATTCGTCTTTGTGCCTGGACTTTGATCTCGTTGCAGGACTTGGGTTATTATACGATGGTCTCCACATTTACACACCACAGGTTGTAGGTCAACTCCAGTGATAAGTTGGTTGGACTAGTCTACCGTGGTCGGGCTTATGTGGCGTCGCAGTCTGTTCTTGTCTTGCATTTCCGTTTTTATTTCCGAGAAAGAGACGGCCTGTGATCTAGGTTTTATAACTTTCTAGGGGGGTTGTGTGTTAGATCCAGTATCTAAATGTTTAAGAAGTGTTAAAAGCTCTGGCATGGTGAAATATACAACATGCGAGTGCGGAATATCCCCGTGACCTTGTGTAAAAGTCGGATCGCTGGAGACTGACCTATCAGAAGTGAGGTAGGCTGTAGTTCATCCAATCAGAAGTGAGCTAGTGTGTAGCGGTGTGTAAATGGGGGAGACCAGCGTAAAATTTACCCTGGACTTTAGTGTTGTGTGCACATTGGTTTTTTTTATACAAGCAGTTCATTGTGTGCAGACTGTTGGTGCCTAGCCTTTCACGCAGATGCGCTGCAACTCGATAGAAATTTCGTTGATTCTTTTACGTCGATAAATCCCAGGGAAATGGTTTAGATAATGGCCACATAGAGGTGTCGGTAAGTCCTGAACTGTTATGAACCTTTGTCCGCAGATGGCGATGAACCCCTGAGTCCTTTTAAATCTCAGCTGCGCTTCTCTTCAAGGAAGTGGTCATGGGTATATTATCTATAACAAAGGGTAGCAGCCATGGTATAACCGATAGATGTTCGCCTGCAAATCAGAAAGTCATGGGTTCAGATCCTATAAGAGCCTGGCTTTTTCCCCTTTCTAAATAACCTAGCCTTCCTGGTCGACCAAGACCGCCATGCTGCAGACGTCACCAAATCAGGCTAAGGATACGTAACATTTTCACTCTGACAGTCTCGTTTTTCAGTGTGTTCCTTGCCGATATGTTGTTCAACGTTATCATATTGTGTGTAACTATGCATATTTTAATTCTTGAGCAAGAGTTCTTTGTGGTAACGGCAGGTAACACCATGGGACAAGAATTGTTTCAGCGTCTTGGGTCGACCCAGCCTTAACTGGATACAAGATAAAGTGCTGGAAAGTAAAGATGGTCTGTGTGATGTTGACCACAAAACTCATCGAGTACCGATTAGTCTATAAAATATAGGTCAAACCCTAAATACACAATACGCTTGAAGGCGTGAGAAAGAGTCGTTGTCTTTACTTATACAAAGTATTACTTTGTAATGAAAACTGCAAACAGATGGCTTACCTGGAAATAGTACTTCTAAAATCCCTATATGGCAAGAGCTTATGCTTTAAATCAAAGATCTTTCTCAGTTCGAACTCCGGAGATTGAACAATATGTCTATTCTGTACTCGGGCGATTCCAAGCGTAGATGCATATTGGAATAGGTGATTTCCTAATCTCCCGTAACCCTCTGCTACCGTGATGTACAATGGGAACTGCTGTACCATTGATTCTGAGCTGTTGTCTCCCCCAGTAAATGCTGATCTTGGACTCAGGGTCATTGTTGTTGTTGGTTTTGATGTTGGCAGCTCCTTAGAGGTAAGCGGCCCTGAATCGTCGTATGTTAGCCATCTGCAAATACTGTTAGATTTGAGGCAATGAGATTAACCACAACACTTTACTCTTCTATCTCTCTCTCTCGCATACGATGGACTCCATTCACCATGCTTGAGGACCTTGATTTTGCAGATGATATAGCACTCCTATCACATAAACATGAACATATACAAGAAAAAAGTAACAGACTACACAGCACAGCAGAAATGGTGGGACTGAGAATAAATACAAAGAAAACTAAGATCATGACAAGCAGTCCAAACCAAGAACCAGTGACCATAAATAACCAAACTCTTGAAAATGTAGAACATTTCACATATCTTGGCAGTGTGGTGTCCCTGCCGGGAGGGACCGAAGAGGACACACAGTCACGTCTGAACAAAGCTAGAGCTGCTTTTGGAAGGATGAGGAAAATCTGGAAATCCAACAATTACTGCAGAGGAACGAAACTCCGACTCTAGAAGATCATCATTTTGCCAGTTCTTCTTTATGGAGCGGAATGCTGGAGAATGACCAAAAAGGACGCACACAAGCTGTCAACCTTCCACCACACATGTATATGCAAAATTATCAACATTTTCTGGCCACATACAATCTTAAACACTAAACTACTTCAAGTCACAAACCAAGAAACTTTAGACAATATGATAACCAAGAGAATATGGAAATGGCTTGGCCACGTTATGAGAATGAATCCTGATTTACCTGCCAAAACAGCTCTCACATGGACACCAGAGGGAAAGAGAAAACAGGGGCGCCCAAAAACAACATGGAGAAGAACGATGGAAAGTGACCTGAGTGCTGCATCTTTGACATGGAAAACTGCACTGAAGATTGCACAGGACAGGAAAGCATGGAAAGTCCTCTCTGAAGCCTCATGTGCCACTAGGCACAACGAGAACTGATTGTGATCTCTCTCTCTCTCTCTCTATCTCTCTCTCTCTCTCTCTCTCTCTCTCTCTCTCTCTCTCTCTCTCTCTATATATATATATATATATATATATATATATATATATATATATATATATATATATATATATATATATATATATATATATATATATATATATATATATATATGTATATATATATATATATATATATATATATATATATATATATATATATATATATATATATATATATATATATATATAAGTGAAAACTTTAGAAGTGTAAGAGAAAAAAAATAATAAACACGTCATTGTCTTGTAATATGTCGACATTGGTGTTAAGGATGTCAAAAGTGTTAAGCACGTGACATCACGATGCTGACATTAACAGTGACGTCCCAATGACTGCCTAAAGATGTTCGCCCACTGTTTTTAATCGGGCCTTCAAAGCAGAAAGGCGTTGCACAATGGAAGAATGCCATGGCTACAGCAGCAACAACAACAACAACAACAACAAAACAACAACAAAATGCAAGCTTTTTTAGAAAACTGGAACCGTGAAGCGTACGACGCAGTCAGTAACACGAACTCACGACCTTCACAAAGTGATGCAAAGGGCTTGATTGCTTCGTCAAGGAGACGATATGGTCATGACTATACAAGCGTTAAAAAAAAAAACCCCGCGTATTGTGTGGTCTATTTCAACGGCAATCTGTACTTTTGCCTTTTACGTGTGTTCTGAGTATATTAACGAAATCTGGCATTCTAAGTGCCATTTTCTACTGTGAGTGCATATTTGTTCGAAAGTCATATAATTATGATTTAATTAGACTTGAGGCCTCCCCCCCCCCCTTTCCCCCACAACACCCCCTCCCCCAACCCCCCATTCACTCCGAAACATTTGCTGCAAAAATGATAAAGTTTATTTTCTTTAATCGTCTTGTTCTTCTTTTTCGCGTTCACCAGCTGTTATCTCCGGCGGAAAGCTCTGGTTGTTCATCCACTTCTGGACTCTAGTCCTGTTCCAAAACAGGAGTGTTGCGTGTACACCCGTTTCACAGGTCTGAATCATTTGCATGTAGAATGTTGGTTCCTTGCCTATCAGACTGATGTACTCCGTCTTCGAAGTAATATTCTTTAATACAAATGCGTTTCATATTATTAAAGTTATACTTACATTTCGACCTGTCTGTCTTTAGATACATAACAGATAATAAGTACTGTCAACACCATTAAAAAAAGAACAATCTTTTTCCGCATTATTCACTAATGGAGTTTTCACAACTTCTTACAACGCGCGGTATTTGCAGTTACAAGCCACACGTATTTTTCACTTGCTAAGCGAGTGGTGATAGGTACACGTATCAGCCGAGCAGGCGAGTCCAAGTGACAACGTGTGGCAGTGTTGATTTCACTATAACCACCAATCTAGCCAGGCTTCTAGCCAAAATGAAATGATGTTACTTCCTACTCCCTCGAAAGTTACCTGGCATGCGTATTTTAGTGCAGCAAGTACTAAATACAACACATACGGACCAGAAAGCTCAATGCACACAAAAAAAAAAAAAACGCGTACATATACAACGGGACGTTTCGGTTAAAACATTTTTTATCGGACTAGACAACAGAACTTAAAAACACCTAACGTCAGTACGGAACCAGAAATTCCTAATAGGAATTTAAAAAAAAAAAGAACGAAGGGCTATTTTACCGCAATCTATCTATCTATCTATCTATCTATCTATCTATCTATCTATCTATCTATCTATCTATCTATCTATCTATCTATCTATCTATCTATCTATCTATCTATCTATCTATCTATCTATCTATCTATCTATCTATCTATCTATCTATCTATCTATCTATCTATCTATCTATCTATCTATCTATCTATCTATCTATCTATCTATCTATCTATCTATCTATCTATCTATCTATCTATCTATCTATCTATCTATCTATCTATCTATCTATCTATCTATCTATCTATCTATCTATCTATCTATCTATCTATCTATCTATCTATCTATCTATCTATCTATCTATCTATCTATCTATCTATCTATCTATCTATCTATCTATCTATCTATCTATCTATCTATCTATCTATCTATCTATCTATCTATCTATCTATCTATCTATCTATCTATCTATCTATCTATCTATCTATCTATCTATCTATCTATCTATCTATCTATCTATCTATCTATCTATCTATCTATCTATCTATCTATCTATCTATCTATCTATCTATCTATCTATCTATCTATCTATCTATCTATCTATCTATCTACCTATCTATCTACCTACCTCTATCTATCTATCTACCTACCTACCTCTCTGTCTGTATGTCTGTCTGTCTGTCTGTCTGTCTGTCCGTCCGTCCGTCCGTCCGTCCGTCCGTCTGTCTGTCTGTCTGTCTGTCTGTCTGTCTGTCCGTCCGTCCGTCCGTCCGTCTGTCTGTCTGTCTGTCTGTCTGTCTGTCTGTCTGTCTGTCTGTCTGTCTGTCTGTCTGTCTGTCTGTCTGTCTGTCTGTCTGTCTGTCTGTCTGTCTGTCTTTATGTCAGTCTTCCTACCTGTCTTGCTGTGTATCCGTTCATCCACCCCGCTGTGTGAAACTTCAATATTTAACGGGTGTTGTTTAGTTTTACTAGTTAATTTCACGTAGTTTGCCATTGCTTTCTAAACTCTGGAAAGATCATACCGTTGTAGAAATCAACGCTAAGCGGCCTGTTTCTCAACTGCCAGAAACTGAGTGTGAATATACAGGTAGCCCCACATAAAATGCATTGACGCCTCAGAGATTTAATTTTACAAAAATAGGGCTTAAGGTTCCATCGGCAGCCCAAGGGAGTAAACTAAATATTTTGAAAACGGCCAGTAGGCGACGACAGTTTATCGTAAACATCAGTAAGAAGCAATCAGCATGTTTGCAACATTATGAAACATTAAACACTATTTAAAAACTGGAAATATTCAGAGGGGGGTAGGATGAGAGAGAGAAAGAGAGAGAGAGAGAGGAGGAGGGGAGAGGGAAAGAAAGAGAGAGTGGTAGAGAAAGGGAGAGACAGATATAGAGAGAAGAGTAGAGAAAAGGAGAGAGATGAGGTCAAATCGTTCAACTTTCTCTGCTTTGGTATCTTTCTTTCTTCATGTCTCCCCTTTCTAACTTTCCTGTAGTAATGGTAGAGAAAGGTAGAGAAAGGGAGAGATAGACAGAGAGAGAAACAGAAAGAGGCAAAGCGGGAGAGATAGGTAGAGAGAGGTAGAGAAAAAGACAGTGTGATGTAGATAGAGAGAGCAGAGAAAGAGAGAGAGACAGAAAAGTAGAGAACAGGAGAGAGTGGTAGTGAGAAGGAGAGAGAGATATAGAAAGAGGTAGAGAAAGAGAGAGAAAAGAGAGAGAGAAAGAGAGGTAGAAAGAGAGATAATGGGAGGTAGAGACAGGGAGGGAGAGAGAGAGAAGTAGAGAGGGAGAGAGAGAAACAGAGGATTCCGGACAGCCTGTCGTCAGATTATGGAAAGTTATAAGCACACGAACTGGAAATTGTTACTGGAGATTCCGCTGTGTGGAGAATCAAAGTCGTCAACGGCAGACAGAAAGGCACATGATGATAATGAAATTCAATAGTAGAATAGAGACATGAAAGCACTTCTCCTATGTATTTAGTGCACCATTAGTGGGGGCGGAGGAGTAGATAGCTACTCCCTACCACTGAGATCGTAAAATGTGACTGAAGAATGATTAGCTGAAATACTTTGCGTTAGGCCTACAAGCGTAGATATCATGGCCTTGCTGTAAACCACAACATAATGGGAAAACGCCCTCTTCAAGGTGAAAATTAAAGAAGAAGAAAAAGAAGAAAAAGAAGAAAAAGAAGAAGACGATGATGACAATGGTGATGATGATAAAGACAAAGAAGAAGAAGAAGAGCAATCACCAGCAAGAAGAAAAAAAAAAAAAAACACGAGAAGAACCATGAATAATGTACCTCCACTTTCATTTGGAGAAGAGCCGTGTTAGCCTAGTAGCTAGCTGGTTTTTGCCC